TAATCATTTGATAAAAATTAATTATTTTAAAGAAATTGATTTGGAGACATCATTATCTAATCTTTGATTTAGGTCTTGAGGTAGAAAGTTATAAGTTTTGAGATAATGAAAGTAATGAAGTAGTATTGAGAGTCAGCTAGTAAAGTGTTATTGCTTTACTAGCTGTTGCTGATATATGAGAATAGGTTTATATCCCCTAATAAACTGGTCGAAGGCCTCTTTTCCTGGGTTAGAGGAACAGCAGTTTCTTTGTGTCAAATAGGTTTTAAAACATGAACAGGGGAAACGCTTTCAAGTCCCACTTAAACTGTTTCCCTCTTTCCTCTTGAAAACAATCAGTGAGCAAGGGTTTATACTGTCTTTTTTGTTTTGTAAATTGGATTTTTGAGATAGCAAAGATGCAAAGATGCTGAAGGGCCTCTTCTCTTTGAATTTAAACAAGTTTGTGGTTCAGAGAGAGAAAATAATTCAGGGAGAGAATTCAGGCAATCTGATTACTTATAACTTTGCTTTGATTTATTGCTGCTGTTTTCTGATCTGCTGGGGACACTCATTGTAAAAACTGTAGGTTTGGAATGTGCTGATATAAGAGCAAAACACGCAGCTGACTCTGTTCAAGAAAGGACTGGAAAATTCCTTAAAGTCTTGGTCTCTCTCTCTCTCCTCCATCCTTATTTCTCCCTGCCAGCTGTCCGATGTGGATATGGGGAAACTGTGTGGGAGATATTAATGGAGACATATTGTCTGGTATGGAAGGTACTTCGATCAGCTGTGTGGGGATTTAAATGAAGTTGCGTTGTTTGCGCTCAACTGGCTCCAAGTGACCCAGTTCAAGAGCTCCACTGGTGTGATTAATAGGGCTCGATGGAAAGAGCTTCGCTCCTCTGGGGAAAGAGAGGAGGGCTCCGGATCGGCTAGCAGAAGCTCCTATGGTGTGATTGGGGCTCCAGGGCTTCAGAATCCAGCATTTTTGGGGCTTGTTTTTTGGGCTCTGGTTTACTCATGGTTACTGGCACAGGCAGCAGCTTTAAAGGTGATTTCTGGTGCAGGTGGTGGCTTTATAGGGAGATAGTGCTCCAGGAGCAAGAGCCTAACCTTCCTAGTTGGGCACTGCCATCTTCTATGTATCTTTAATTTTAATCTTTAATTTAAAAGGAAATAATTTAATCTGGTTTGTTTACACTTAGCTCTATTTCCAAAAGGGACATACAAAAGTTGCTAATGTGAAGAAAGTAAAAAAATAAATGCAGAGCACATCATGAGAAAGGCAGGACTAGATGAATCACAAGTTGGAATTAAGATTGCTGGGAGAAATATCAACAACCTCAGATATGCAGATTATACCACTTTAATGGCAGAAAGTGATGAGGAACTTAAGAGCCTCTTGATGCAGGTAAAGAAAGAGAGTGCAAAAGTTGGCTTGAAACTCAACATTAAGAAAACTAAGATTATGGCATTCGGCCATCTCAATTCCTGGAAAATAGATGGGAAAGAAATGGAGGTAGTGACAGATTTTATTTTATTTTATTTTATTCAGCTCCACCAATTCCTGAAAAGGGTCTCATTTAATAACAGTGCTGGGGATATGATTGTGTTCAACCAGAGAAGGGAATTGATAGTTGGATATGATATTATAAACTGGGTCACATTCCCAAACCAATCCTTCCAACGAGTGAAAGTAGGGAAACTGGATCCCTGGGTTGAAAAGGAAAAATTCACCATTCATGATGAAGTCATCACATGGCACAGCACTTTCAACCAAGTAGGTTCTGATATTTTTACTTGCATGATGAGGTGTTATCCAAAAATAACTCAACCAAATAGGTTCTGATATTTTTGCTTGCATGATGAGTTGTTATCCAAAAATAACTCTATTATTTTTACAAATAAGTTTTGAGCTTTTTCTTGTGGCACAAGCTATTTGAAATACAATTTATAGAGAGTTATTTCAGAAATAAAGCATGGTGATATTCAATAAAAAGTTTAAAAAGAAAGACTAGTTGCTGATTTATTTGAAAAACAATTAAACATTTAGAAGAAAAAAATATAAGAAGTTTAAAAGAAGTTGAAAGACTACCAAAATGAATTAGTTCAGATTCAATGTCAAGTCTGATTGATGAATTCCCACATAATATTACATTAGTTTTGTATTATGATAATAATTAATGAGCCAAATTGTCTTTATTAGACATAGATGAGGAAATTTTGTGGCTGTGGGGAGGAGAGATGAACCTACTGGCTGCTTCCATAAGCGTGCTGCTAGATTTAGTTTTTGATTTCCATTATTTAAATTCTACCTAAACTTTGAAATATTATCATATTCTGAGAGCAGATGTTGAGAAACTTTAATTTCTGTTTGTTTCTCGTGAAGGCCGGATCCCACCATAATAATCCCTGTGCTAATATTTACATCCTGTAACAACTTCATATTTAATCTGGCAAGGAAGGATAGAAAAGATTAAATGTTTCCTCTTTGAAATATGTCCATCCAGATGTTGAATTTGGCATAAGTTGCAAACCTTATGCAGGAGAAAAGCTGTGATGTGAAAATTCTGTTGCAAATCAGAATCTGGGTTCACAAATTAGGTGTGGTGATTCAATCCTGAATCAGAGTCTTGGGATCAAGCTGTCACTGCATTTTCATTTAAAAAGTGTAATCTCTTTTAAATATGCTCTCTTTAAGGTCATCTTTATCTATATACCAACCCCTTGTAAATGTCTTTATTATATGCCACACCATTGTATTAGCATATAAAGTATGTAAAGTGACCAGAAGAAATTTTAGCTATGAGTACAACTAAGTTAACTTTAGCATGCTTCCAGCTTAGAAGAAACAATATTACTGTATATAACTTCTCCTATTAATAGAACAGAAGAAAAAAAATGATTCTTGAATAATTTTGATGATAATGTTGATGACGAAAAAACCTCACAATTAGAATCCTATTATTTAAAATGCCAATTAATCATGATATTTTAATTATTTTATCAAAAACCTGATTGAATGCTAACTTTAATTCAATTTTTGGGCAGACACTACCTGTTTCTGTGTGTACTGAAAGCTGCCTTCCTGGTTATTTCAAGAAAAAACAGGAAGAGAAGCCATTTTGCTGCTATGATTGTTTTCCATGCCCCAAAGAGAAAATATCAAGACAGAAGGGTAAGAGGCCTTGTGAACAAAATTCATCTTAATAGTGTGAAACCACACCAGGATTTAACATAACACATGTAATTGTAGGGAACATTTAGTTGTTTATTTATGTGGTTATTAATTTATTTAGACTTCATATTTAATCCAATTTTGGTCATCACAATATAAAAAAATGTTGAGACTCTGGAAAGAGTACAGAGAAGATGATCGGGAGGGTAGAGTTTAAAACATATGAAGAATGGCTTCAGGAATTGGGTATCTCTAATTTAATGAAAAGAAGGAGTACATATGACATGATGGAATATTATTTACTGGCCACGTGTGATTGGACACACAAGGAATTTGTCTCTGGTTCCTAAGCTTTCAGTGATAACAGTATTCCAATCTCGAAGGGATTGCTAACAAAGATGAGATGGTCAACCTATTCTCAAAAGCACTTTAAGGCAGGACAAGAAGCAGTGGATGGAAACTAATCAAAGAAAGAAGATACAAGAAGAAAATTCCTGGCAGTTAGAATAATTAATCACTGGAACAGTTTCAGAAATTGTGGATGCTCCATCACTGGAGATTTTGAAGAAGAGATTGGACAACCATTTATCTGAAATGAAATAGGGTCTGATACTTGAGGAAGGGATTGAACTAGAAGACCCCAAAGGTCCCTTCCAACTCTGTTATTCTGTTAGCATTCTTATTTCTATACATTAAATGCTATCTTGATCTGGTTTACAAAATAATTCAAGCAATTAATAGATTTGGTGAAAGTAACACTAGTGCTTTTGGCTTCTCTTCTTTAACTGTGTTAGAAAATATCCACTATAAGCTCTGTTTTACTTGTGAATATGAATATTCATATGGTTTTATTCTATTTTATTTTTTAGAAGCTTACATGCTCATCTGTCTTATATAATACTTTGTGGCACAAAGTAATATTAAATTAAAAACCAAAACAGAATAAATAAAGCAAATGAACCCTTTAACAACCTGCATGTATTCCAACCACAGACATCCAAGGTCACATACTCTTCCACAGTTAAAATATTAGCTGGGGGTCAATAACAAACATGCAGCAAATTTTACACCTGTTAAATAGAACAAGCAAACAAATGAAAACATACACAGTATAAGAACAGGGTAATAATCATGAAAAGGGGTCTTTTAAGAGAATAAAGCATTTTCTGAATTTCCTCAGCCTGATCTTCTAAGTAAAAACAATCCTTAACTCCATTTGGTGAGAAAGGTATAGTTAACTAGAAGTCAAGTGAATTACAGTAATGCAAGGCCAGAACTGAAGACACAAAAACCTTCCAAGTCAAACTGTTTCTTCGCTTAGGTGCTCCCCCATACTGACTCTCATATCCAATTGAATTCAAAAAAGATGTTTTTAAAATGGACATCTCTAGTAAAAGCTGATATGCATCTATTTTCCATCCACCCAACCTTGAGAGCTGTGCCTCAGGAGATACAGTGAGTTTTATTACCCTGGAAACCCCCATTCCCCACCAAGTTTATGGCACATAGTGATAGCGAAGCAAGAATGAAGTGGCAGCTGACAACCATTCTAAATTCTCTTTACTAAATCATTAATGCCACAGTAGAAAATTAGATAAACAATAGCAGCGTAGGGTATCAAGGTACATTGTAATGTCATGACCAATTTTACTCTGTTCTGTTGTTCTCTTTTTATTTCTATCATTCTCATTTTACAAAAGAATTTGTTATGTATTTTTGTTAATAATGTATTTCTATCTTGATTATATTTCTCTTTTGTTCATTTTTTTCTTTATCATATTACAAAGATTATATATACACACACACATTGATTACTGAAAAAATATATTCTTAAATTCAGACATGCAGGATTGTTCTGAATGCCCAGAAGAACAATATCCAAGCAAGGACAAAGATTCATGTCTTCCCAAAAAAATATCTTTCTTATCCTATGAAGAACCAATGGGGATAACTTTAGTCATTCTGGCACTTTCTCTTTCTTTTTGCACTTTTGGAGTGCTGGCAACATTTTTGAAGTATCACCATACTCCCATTGTCAAGGCCAATAACCGAAATCTCACTTATGTTCTACTCATCTCCCTCCTTCTCTGCTTCCTTTGCTCACTGCAGTTCCTTGTTGCACCTGGAAATATAATATGTCTCCTTCGACAAATTAGCTTTGGCATCATCTTCTCAGTGGCCGTGTCTTCTGTGCTGGCAAAAACTATCACTGTGGTTCTGGCTTTCATGGCCACCAAGCCAGGATCCAAGATGAAGAAATGGGTAGGAAGAGGCTTGGCCACATCCATTGTTCTTACTAGTTCCTTGATTCAAGCAGGCATCTGTGCTGTATGGCTCATCACATTTCCCCCTTTCCCTGAAGTTGACATTCATTCAGATTTTGAAGAAATTGTACTGCAGTGCAATGAAGGCTCAGCTACCATGTTCTACTGTGTCCTAGGATACATGGGTTTTCTGGCAGCTGCCAGTTTCACAGTAGCTTTTTTCTCCAGGAATCTCCCCAGCAGTTTCAATGAGGCCAAATGTCTCACATTCAGCACTTTGATCTTCTGCAGTGTGTGGCTCTCTTTTGTTCCTTCCTACCTGAGCACCAAAGGCAAATACATGGTGGCCGTGGAGGTTTTCTCCATTTTGGCCTCAAGTGCTGGGTTTCTGATCTGTATATATTTCCCAAAATGTTATGTAATCATTGTTAGGCCAGAGTTAAATAAAAGAGAACAACTTATTAAAAGAAAAAAATGTTAATAAACACACAAAATTATTTCAACATTTCTGTCATGTATTATTTCTCATTTGATATATTTGTTATTTGTATCATTTATATTCATCTCTCATGTATTGTTTTGTGAGGTAATAAATAAATGGAAAATGTAAATATTTAAACTGGAATTATTCTGTCATAGAAAATATAATCGTAGTCTGTGAATCAGCCTTCATTCCATTTGTTTTGAAGAGAGTGTGATTTTATTTATTTTGCAGACTGAAATTTATTTACAATCCAAATTGATTCAAACTATTTATTGATTCAATATTCATTTTTATAAAAAAATGAGCTGTTTATAATAGGAAAGCATGAAGATCCACAATCAGATTTAGTAGATTGAGTCACAGCCAGAATCCTTCCTTCTTTTCTCTCTCCCTTCCTCCCTTTCCTCTCTTCCTATCTTCCATACCCTTTACTCTTGTTATAAACCAAGTTTCAATATCCCATATCCCATATCTGTTACTAAATAGGTTACTGTCACTGAATTTTTAGGAAACTACCATGTTTCTCCAACAATACGGCCTCCACCAATAGGAAGCCCCAGCATGATTTATTGGCATAAAATCAAATTAAGCCCCTCCCCCCAAATTAAGGCCCATATTAAACATGCGAAATGGGGGGGGAATGGCGGGGGGGGCTTGCCGTTAGGAAGTACTTTGTTGCATGCCCGGATATGGTGCTGCCTGCGTTGGTGGAGCACTTCATATCGGGAGACCTTCCGCCACCGTTAATTTCCCTTCTCCCTTGCTGCTGTAGCGTTACAGCAATGCCGCGGCGTTTGGCGTAGCCACGTGCAGCCAGTCAGGGCTCCTCCCTGCAACCGGAGCCCTGAGGAGACACTTGGCTTCAGGCGCTCCTGTGGCCGCCTTCCCTTTGCCTTCGATGGTAAAGTGAATTATTTTAAAAACCTCCGCTCATCCTATCAGGGCCGTGCGAGCTGAGCAGAGCCGGGAAAGCAAGCCGCGGGTGTTTCCTGGTTCTGCCCAGCCCGTACGGCTCTGGCGGGATGAGCGGAGGTTTTTAAAATAATTCACTTTACCTTCGA